ATTTATTTTTTTTATAAATGTTTAAAATTTATCATAATTTTTAAAATAAAAAAATTATTATCTTTAATAAATAAAATAAATTTTAATAAATTTTAACCATTCGTAATAAAAATATGAATAATTAAAATTTTATATAAATAAAGTGTATAAAATTTATGTATAAATGAATTTTAATTCTACAATAAATATTAAATATAGATAAATATATATCAATTCAGATGTAATATATACTAACCTCAACTTCAATCGTAAGGCATCACACTTTAATTCTATAATCCCTTTTCTAACCACCCCATATGTGAACCTCTATATAGAGTAATTCTATTTATCTTGTAGCAAGGAAAGCTACTTCCTTCCACTGATAATGCAGCGTACCGGTATACCTACCCTAACCATTCAATTCAAGACATATATATATATATATATATATATTTTGACAAGGGTAATGATTAGAAAGTTAGTAGAGTTAGTTTGTTAGCAGCTGAGATTTCTCAGAATGGTGAACATTCCACCCTCTTATATGAAGCGCACGACCATTAAATCACAAGTTGGTGGAATTCACAATGGTAGCAGAACTCGAAACCTTAATTTCTACCTCACCCAAACCCTAAGGCTTGAGGACCAACCATTAGGCCAAGGCGTGGTTGGTAAGACATATATATTTGTAAATGAAGGAAACAACGAATTTAATTTCCAAATATTCTGTCTACCGACAGCGTTTCTCATCATTTCTAATTTTGATTCTATTGAATATGTACTATATATCATATATACATTAACCACATGCAATGTTGACTACGCATTGTTGCCAATGGGACCAACCAACCATCTTCAAGCACACAGCCACACACACTGAAATTGACTCTTCACCTCCAAACCACAACTCATTTTATTTTTCAAAACTATTCCCCTCGTCTTAATTCTTTTTAGTTAATTAATACTTACTCTATTCATTTTTGGTAGTTTTATTTTTATTTTTTGATTTTTTAGACTTAAATTTCATATACAAAGTTAACAACTTATATAAATAATTATTGAAAAGTTTTTTTTTATCATATATGAAGTTTTTGTTGAATATTTTTATTTGATAAAAAATCAATTATCATTTATATAATAGGCTAAATTTTCATATAAAATTTATGTTTAAAAAATCAAAAGTAAAATTAAATCTATTAAAAATAAATAGAAAAAGTAAAAAAATATTCAATTATAGTGTTAACTCACAATAGACTTTTATAATTTATGGGTGTTTGACAGATTCTTCACATCAAAAGGCAACATGTGAATTAATACACATATTGTGAGACTTTATTAAGAGATAAAATCATATGTATATTATTAGTTCTATTAATTAAATCCCTTTTTATTTGCAAATAGATCCAAAATTTTTTTTTCATATATTAAATAACAAATTATATAATAAAAAGTAACTCTTTGCACTCATCTTAAAATTTAAAGTCGAAAATCCTTTGTTAAAGTTTTAAACTTTTACACCTATTAAGGCAATCCAAGACTATGATGTTAAAGGCAATCCAAGACTATGATGTTAAAGAACATCCATCATTTAATTGAAAAGTAGGAATGGCCAATGGGACAAGATTGAGTTTACTATGAGAAAAAAAAAAAAAAGCAGTAGTAAAGTGAAGAGTCCCTAACTGAGAGTACTTTTCTGGAAAAACAAAGTAAGTATAAGGGGCTTCCCTAAGTTAATACCTAACTAACCACATCTCCCTGTTCCTCACGTATCGCGGTTAGGGCGAGTGTCCTTTTCGAAGTTTGTTGCTCTCTAATCTCTCTTCCATGGGGACCGACGCATAAACCCTCAACAGTTTCTTCCCCGCAAAGGAATATACTTTACTTCTTCTTCCCCAAATCCCCTTCTCCTTATACCATCATCCCAAAACCAATCTCCTCTCATTCATCATTGCAGAACAATGGATGTCTTTACGGTTGTTCTTACTTTTCTCTTCTGCTTCTTTCTTTCCAAGTTCCTTTCATTCATGAATTACCTGGAAGGCCATGATGAGGTAGGATCGTCTCAAGAAGTCGCTGCTAAATTGCGTGATTACAGTTCCAAAAGAGTGGGAGGACTTGGGTTTGTAGGAGATGTTGTACAAGTTCGAGTTTTGAGTGAAACAGAGCAATTGAATTCCCACCTTCAACAACCCGGAAATAGAAGTTGTGGATCACCAGAAATGGCACACCAACGGACTGAAGAAATTCCTCTTGGAGTGGATACGGTGGACGAAAGCGCTGACAATGAAGCAGGGCACTCAGAGTCCATCTTTCAAGTTTGCGAATCATCGGAAATAGCAGACCAACCTACTGAAGAAATTTCTATGAGAGTGAACATGGCGGAAGAAAGCGTTGAGGGTGAAAGTTTTCGTGGAACTGAGGTGGATTTGGTTAAAGATGAATTGGGTATGACAAAGAGTGAAGATGAGATTCAGGTTTCTGAGAGTGAAAACAAGAGTGAAGAGGGTTGCGTGAATGAGGGGCAATTGGAGAAGGAAGAGGAGGAGGAGGATTGGGAGGGAATTGAAAGCACTCAATTGGAGAGGGTTTTTGGTGCAGCGGTGTGCTTTGTTGGGTGTGGAAGCAATGCTGATCAAATTTCGAAACTTGCTAATGATATAAAGATGCAGATGTATGGACTTCACAAGGTTGCCACTCAAGGGCCTTGTCTTCAGCCTCGACCAATGCCACTCAAGGTGTCTGCTCGTGCAAAGTGGTAAAAAACAGAACTCTTCTATGAATTTTGATGTTCAGTTTATATCTGCATTTTCCCTTTTAGGTAAATTGTTATTATTAAATTGCTTCCAACAATAATTGAGTGAAAATGGATAAATTTTAGTTTTCATAGTAGCTTTCTATATATTGGTATAATGTTGATACAATCAACTCAAACAAATAATTCAATTGAGAATTTGGATCTGCCCATGCTTGCATTTGGTGTGTTAGTTGAGGTTAACAAAGAGGTGAAAGACTGCAAATATTGAAAGCTTATTGCTAACAATGTCTGGGTACCTCATGATGTTAAGTCAGATTGTAAGTTACCAACATTGAGCTTGTGAAATTGTGGCTGATTGAGAATTTCAGAGATAGACCTTCTCAAAGAGTAAAGAACCAAAATTGACTTGATAAAGACTGAAAGCGAGAATAAAGGCAAGAACAGGTATACCTTTAGTGCAAAGGAGGTTGACAAATAAAATACATTAGTTAAAAGAAAAAAAGTGAATGTGAATTGTGCACTGATTTGGTAAAGGTGATTCCTGATTTTGTTATTCGGCTTAATTTATCAGATCCCCTGCAGTTCTTTTTCTTTGTTGCCTTTGATATTCTTTGATTGAATTAATTTCTATTTTGATGCTTTTTTAAGTTGAAACTTCGTACTTATTCTTTGTCTATAAGTAAAGCATACAACCAGAGAACTTGTAACAGATCAGAAATGTTTTCTATTGGCCAAATTATGGGAAAATTGATCTTTTGGCACCTTATTCTGAGGTCTATAACATAACAGAAACGTCATGCTGAGTCTCTCCTTCCAAGTGCTTTACTTGCTTTGTCATAATCGTAGGTTTTCTTTCTTTTCTTTTTCTTAGTGTATAATTTATTGATAAAAACAACTGAATCTCGTGTTAGGAATGCATGGCATAAAGCTAGTAACATAAGTCCAGAAGAGGCCATGGAGCAGTATATCTACCTTCTTTCAAGAAGCATTCCTGGGTGGATGCAAGATAATATTGGCGTAAGTTTTCTTTTGAAGCATATGGTTTGCTTGTATCTCAAGTGACTTGACATCAAGGGAGTTTTGGGCTTCACCATTCATGTTCCTTGCATGTTTATTGATACAGTACCCTGCAGATGCCAAAGAATCCAGGAAGCTTTCTTCTTCTGATACAAAGACCTTTCCAGTAAATCGAGCAAGTGCTGTAGGTGACAGGTAATTTTAATGCCAAAATTCTTAAAATTTGCTTTCTTTCTTATCTAACTTCCCATTGACTGAATCTCAAACAGGAGTTTATATGAGCCTAAGGCGTGACTAGGTGTACAGTCCAGAATCCTTGAATAAGGTATTCTCCTGGTCTCCTAGTGTTTTTTTTCCTATTTTATCATCTCTTGTGGTCAGGAATATAAGCATACTAGACTGTGCAGGGGAAGTTAAACCATTGATCAAATAATTGTCCCTTTTTAGGGTATATGGATTGCCAAACTTCAGTCTCTCTTACTAGAGTTCCTTATTGCTGCTTCATGAGAACTATGGCTCAGGGAATATCATTAGGCAGAGTTAACCATCATTACATAAATTGCAATGATGCATGTGCACCTCATTAAAGAACTTTTCCTTTCTTCATAATGAATAGACATAATTTGATGCTGTCTGATGTAGACATTCAAAATTATATGCACCTTCAGTGATCAGAAATCTTCAACATGCTAGTTAATGGAGACTTAACCCCTATAGAAAAGAAAAGGACAGAACTTCTCTTCCCTTTCTTGGTCATGTTTATGGTGTCTCCTATTTCTATTTGATGATTTATCTTTAATTTTCTCAGTTTTGAGTGGCTTGCCAATATTCCGTATCAATTTTGTGAAATTGTATCCTAGCCAAACATATATTTTTGATAGTGGTAGCTTTGAATGTACTGAAATAACAGTAACTTCGGCTTGACTTCTTCCTGCAGCCATTCAAATGCATGGTTAGCAATTGTTTTTCTTAGGATCTGACTTGTAGAAAATATATCTCCAGAAAATTTTAAGCGGTTTCAATATATTAGAATTGCAATGCATATTTGAGTACCTTGAAAGCTCCAAGATTATTGTGTAATATTGTCTGACATGACCTGTTTTTGGATTCAGGGTAAGCAACACATTCTCCCTCGTGTCAATAATGCTCCATGACAAAGACGATCGTTTGTAAGGATTGAGGAAGATTGTCTGCCTCAGAATTAGCTAGGCATCTGTCTGGTTATATTCCAGTACATATTGCAGAGTTAATAGGGAACTAGCAATGTATCTATCATAGAACATGTTCCATTCTCTTTGTTAACTCCCATAAGTTTCTATTAACTTATTGTCTTAATTCATTTATTTCCCTTGAATTAAAGGGAGAAAATAGGAAATACCAGAATTCCCCGGATCAGTCTGCACCAACTAGAATGCTAGGTCGAAATTTTCATTGAGCTGGAATGTGAAACATGTCAAGCATCCTAACCAAGTTATGTAAGGAAAAACATTGTAACTCAAATCATGTTTTGTTGACGAGTGCCAATTGGGAAGTGATCCTCATACTTGGAACTCAAAGTTCACTTCAAAAGGACAGAGATTGTCTCATTTGCTCTTTGGGGACATTAATTGTTCAAAGTAGTAAAACTTAGTAAGTATATGTCTTGATATGAAAGATGTCAAAATGTCTAATCTCAACAACAACAACCACATTATGAATAAAAACCATTTAATTGTTTTATGAAGTAACAGTCGTACCCATTATTCACAATTACGTGATGAGTGTGAACAAATGATTATGGATTTATTGTCTTTAAAAATTGATATTAGACTTATTGGTTTTTAATAGTGGATTTATTGGTTCTTATTCCTTTTTTTGTTTTTGAACCTCCATAAAATTTATTATTATTTTTTTTATCAATGCACATCCTTCAAATTTATTGGTTGTTATTCATCCAAAAAAAAAGAGATTGCAACTTCTGTCCTAATCACTTATCCATCAAACAGGGCACACAATATAACCAATTAACCACATGCAGACATTTCTTCTTCTTCTTCATTTTTTTTTTTTTTTAAGGAACAGATGTATGCCTAACCATTCACCATTTTTAATGTATACTATATTTGAAGTGGGAGTTTTGACCCTAGAACTTCTGAACACCTAAACAAGTTCACAACTGCCCAACCAACTAGGGTTGGCAAAAATTCATCCGATCCATTAATTTCACCTTAACTCAACTCGTAAAAATGAATTAATGTTTACATATCTCAACCCATAACCTGTAATATCAATTTGTACGGATCATGGGTCGGGTTAAGATTAATCTACATGTTGACAAGTTGACCCGTTTACTTTATTTTTATTTTTATTTTTAAAAAATATTGTACTTATTATTCTTAATTAATTTTTCTATCATTAACTCTCTCCATTAATTCATACTCTTCAACCTCCTTTTCATTGCTCAAATGGTTTTGAACTTATTTTGAGTGTTTACTCATCATTATTTCTTCTTCTTTCTTTAGAAATTATATGGGTTTGATTTAATTATCAAATATCAAATATCATGAATTAAATGATAATGCAACTAAAAATATTAAAGATATAATGCTAGAATATAAACATAACAATTTAATAAAAGATGTTATTGAAAGAGCAATTTCATCATAAAAAAGAAAAAAACTTAAACTCCTTGATAATGTTTCAAGATGATTGTAAAATTTAAACTTTATTTTCCAAGAAATTTAAATATTTTAAGTTTAATATTGTTAATCAAGTTACTGTTATTTATAACTTTATGATTTTTTTTAATTTAAATATTTGTGGTGGAGACTATAAAGTGCTTAGTGTTAATGAGTTACAATATTTTAATTAGATTTAAATATATATAATTTTATTTGTATATAATAAAATTAATAAAAATAATTATAAAAATTAAAAATAAGATGAATTCGCAAATTAACCCATAACTCATTAGAGTTGAGTTAAAGTTAGACTTTTTAAACCCGTAATCTATTAACAACCCACCTGAACCCAATCCAACCCAACCATTTGCTAGGCCTATGACCAACTAATGTGTAAATTGTATTGTAGAATTGCTCATAATCATATTTCAAAATATGCATATAAATCCATATAATTTTGTGAAAGTGCATCTAACCCTTTAGATTTTGAAATATGACAATAATTATATGAGCTTTTGATATGAGTACATTATTCTTTGAAATTACAAGAAATGTTCTAAATGCACTTTCAATTTCTTTTAGTCACACCCACAACCATAGATAGATCATGTGCATATTTTAAAACTTCAGAGGTTTCATGGACTCACCCAAATCAAACAAAAGCCCAATGGCATTATGTTAAACGCTGCGTTTTACTGTTTTGGCAGTGGTAAAGCATGCAACTGCGCTTTCTTCGAGTTTGCAGTTGCAAATCGCAGGTCCAAAATCATCTTCTTTGTTCCTCGGAGCATTCATCTTCAGAATGCGAAACCATTACTAGTTTCAACTCTGCATCTAATTACCTTTGCAGATCCGATCCTAACTGAGATCTAGTCTTCTTCTCGAGATCTGGTACTAGAAGAGAGCTCCAATAACAAATGGGGGTGCTGATCGAAAGCTCTGTTTGGGAACCCGTTCCCTCCATTCACATCTTCATTTTCCTCTCTTGCTTTTTCTCACTTTCTCTCTTCCCTTACTACCTCTCCAAACACGCCCCTGTAAAGTCCCCTTCTCCCTTCGACCATGCAACTTTCTCTCCACGATTCCAGCGCAACTTTCTCTTCATCTATTCCCTCGCCGCCGGTGCGTTCCGAACCAGATATTGTCTCCCAACCATGTTCGTCTATATAATCTATTAACCCCAACAGTTGATTGCCCCTTTTGCAGTGATGCAAGGAGTGTGGTCGGTTTATGGAGAGTACGAGCTTGCTTACTATGGGGTGAGCAAACAGGAGACTGTTTCGTATTTGTGTATTGGATTTGGAGCGTCGCTTTTGCTGGGTAGTTTCTTAGGCGTGTTTTCTGATTTAATGTGAGTGCAGCTTAATCTTAGATGTTTCAATTCTAATTGCTTGATTGCTTGTAGCCATACTCATGAAGTTGTGACATTTATTAGTACCCATTTTAGAAAATTACCTGGAAACGTAATATGCAAGATAAATTAGAGGTTTTTATTTCTAGTTACTAGTTCTAAAGAACCTGTTCGTGTTAATTGATTCACAAATCACCCCAAATTCTCTAAATTTATGTTTTGTAATCTTTGAAGAATGAGAAAGATTCCATTTTGGTTGATCTCAATATTTTTTTTCCTGATTGAATTCATTTTAGCTGGGATAATAGCAAGAAAGGTTCTCCTTTTACCCAGGAATGTGGGTTACAGTTTGTGGATTCTAACAGGATTAATTGTTTTGATAGGGGTCAAGAGAAGTTCTGTTTGCTCTTCTGCATTCTACACCTCTTTGTTGGTATATTAAAGAGGATAACTTCAGGTCCAAGCATCTGGATAGCAAACATCTGTTTGTCTCTTGCCACTTCGGTATTTTCATTCAGTTTTGAGACGTGGGTGGTTGTCGAACATAAAAGGGTCTGCACAACTAAACTTTCTACCCTCTTGTGATGTTCACATTGGGAAAAACTTTTGAAACAAAACCCTGTTATTCCTGCTTATGGTTTTGACTGTGACTCTTAATGGGCACATATTGCATAAGAAAAAACTTCTGTAGCTAAGTTGTTGGTGCTAATGAGTTGAATTTTGCAGCTAGGTCACAGACAAGATGCTTTGAATGATACATTCTGGTTAATGACTTTCTTTGAGTCTGCATCTTTAATTGGAAGTCAGGTGCTTGCCAATTGGATGTTGGGTAGTAATTTGGAGAAAGGCATAGCTGGTCCTTCTTCTGCAGTTATCTTTCTGGCAATAATGGGCATCATCTTTGTGTCCGGAAGTTGGAAAGGGACTTCAGAGACGCCTCCATTTAAGGATTATAGGGTGTCATTCTATTCATACATTCTTGATGGTAAGAATTGTGTACTTTTCATCAATTTTACCTCATTTCATTCTATCAAAATAGAGTTGCAGTGCTGAAACATTTTTAAAATCTTCATTTAGCAATTTTTTATATTAACTAAAATGGAAAGAAAAATCACTTCAAATTATAAGTTGAAGAGCTAATGGTTATATATGCATCATGCAGAACAGATTGGCATGTCTTTTTCTTGAAGTTCAAGTGTGTCTTAGACTTCTTTTGAATTCTGATTTGTTATCTGTAATTGGGTAAAATGCAATTTAATTATTGGCAAATTGTTTATCTACAGATAAAAGGATATGGCTACTAGTATTCGCCCAAGCTTGCCTTCAATTTTCAGTTGTAATTTTCTGGATTCTTTGGGCCCCAACCCTTGTGGTAAGAAATACCTACAATTAGAAGTATACTAATTGTTTTTCCCTTTTGATTTGTGCTTTTCTTCTGCTTTCTCCTTATCATCTTCAAGGTTGGCTTTATGTGAAGGGTATCCATGTATGATACTCTAATTATCCTGGATTTTAGGCTGATGGACGAGAAGTGCATCTAGGGTTGGTATATCCATGTTTGATGGGTGCAAGGATGCTTGGGAGCACTGTCTTTCCATGGCTTATTAGTGCATCACTTCGTACTGAGGATTGCCTAGCATGTGCATTTCTTATACTGGGGTTGGTTATGTCCATAATTGCTTATGATTATCAGGTACATTTATCTTGTCCCCTTGGAGAAAATAAGAAGTGAGGTTATCTATTATTGGCGTTGTATAGCCTCAGACTTTGATTTGTTGTCTGCAGGAAATTGGAATTCTAGTGACATTGTTTTCTTTATTCCATGCCTGTGTTGGCCTGATTCTTCCATTGCTTGCGCGATTGAGGACAATGTACGTTAGAAAATTTCTGTTGAATTTTCTAAAAATTTATCATTTCTTTTAACACTCTTATCCACTAAATTTTAGTTTTTAATCATTTTATTCCTAATTAATGTTTGTGTAGGTATGTACCAAATGAGTTGCGTGGAGGGATGATAAGCCTTTCTCTAGCTCCCGCAGATGCAGCAGCTCTGCTTTTTCTAATGCAGGTGTTTCTCTTTAACTTATTTATGTACATACTGGCACAAGTATAACTTAATTTGTTTTATGGGTTTGGAGGGCGTGAACACAGATAACTTGACACTTGTATGTGAAAGACCTCTGTCCTTGTATAAATGAGTTGATAATTGTTATATAAGGTTGTAGAAGAACATAACTGCTTTAAAGGAGATTTTTTGACAGCAAATTCAGCTCCCAAATTTCTTTCTTCTCCAACCCAGACCACATTTGGGGAAGAACAATACATTTGAGTAAATGAAGCATAAGTGACTTGTTATGGTCCATGAGCACAAGCTGTTTACAACTTTTAGAGGGAAAACATTGAGTTGAATTGTTTTTTCTTAGGTTTTATAAAATTGAGTGTACCATGTGCTCCTTACAAGGGTTGGAGAGGTTGTGCGCATGTGTATTCTGGAGTAGCATATGACCATTTTCCAACTTGGTAATTTTATTCCCTAAAACAGAGAGTGTGTATTTTGAATTCTTGATGGATCAAAGTCTGTTCAGTCTTCCAAGGAAGGCCAAAGCAAATTAGTTTCTGGTTTGAAATTTTTTATAGTCCCATTATATCATTGGTTTAATTTTTGGCTGAAGATTTGTAGTCAGATATGTGGTGTTACCATTTAGAATCTTTGGAGTAAAACCATAGAGAGCTCACAAGCTTGTTTCTTCATGTTGCAGAGAGGCTATTATCAGAACATTGAGAATTCAACAATGATTGCATTTGCTGCCATTGGGCTATGCATTGCAGCTGGCTGCATGAATGCTTTGAAACGGTGGGGAAAGCAACCATACCAAAACTGGCACAAATCATGATGTTTTCCTTCTCCAATCTCCATACATGCTGAAATTGATGGATTCTTGGAGTCTGTCAATTTCAAGTGGGTGAAACAGAAAGAACTTATGCACCATCCACTTCTAAGTGAGGCATGCTGGAGGCACTCGTATATGGGAAAAAGAACACAGAAGCAGATCCAGAGAATCTATGTGGAGTCCAAGTTTCAAGAATTAACAGAATTAGAGTGATGAATCTTAATTCAATTTCTATGACAAACTATTAGCTGAAAGTTGGGTAGTGTGTAACTCTCTTGACTCTTGGCTCTCACCACATCGTACAGGCATTTCTCAGCCAGGACGGATGTGAAAGACTGCTAGGGAGCAAGCAACATGATAAGCTAGCTAGCCGCCATATTAAGGGGTTAAGTGCATTGTCAATAATGGAGAAATGCACCAGTTGGCCTGGAGGATGGACTGTTAAGATGGGGATGTGGTTAATAGAAGTTCAAACGTTCTTTTGGAAACATCCTATGCTAATGCATGGCAAACTCATTGATAATTACAATTTTGGTGGCAATTGAGCTTTAATTTATTATCTGTTTAATTTTAACTCGGGGTCAACTGATGACTTGTAAAAATCTCTTTTATCAAGATCATCACTTTTTTTTTTCTCATCAAGGGAACGTATGAAAATTGAGAATATTTAATCTTGAACTGCATCAGTAATTTTCTTTGAGCAAGGTGGATACCACCATTGCCAACTATGAATCAAAACATACGCCTTAAAAGGAAGGTTTTAGATCATCTATGATCTCCCCCAGTTCTTAGTTATCCATTTTACACCTTTAAAATAAAATTGCAATTTCTCTGCAGGCACTAGGCATAAAAAAAAAACATATGACGCAACCGACAGTTAGAATCAAATGCCGAGGAAACACTGGTACTGGGAGAAACCCTTTTTTCCCTTTTTTTTTTTAATTATTTTTTTAAAAAGGGGTAAGTAATCCCACGTAATGAATTTGACCACTCTTGCTCGTGGAAGCATAAGCCATTCGCACGTAAGTAGCATGTAAGGCAACAACTGCCACGCTGCACGGGCTATGCCTCCAAAACTCGCCCGCTCCCAAAGCTTCAACTGGCCCCATGAAATGGACAGTGTATAACAAAACAACCTTCATCAAAGGGAAAAATGCAAAACAAAATGAATTGCAATATCTATTGTTTTTGCTCCACGGAAGTCATGTATGGGCCCGTAATGAATCTTAGCCATGCTTCTGGATAGGAAAAAAATAACCAAAAAAGAAAAGAAAAACCTTAACCATGGCCTTTAATAGGCGAGCTCAAATATCTTGTTCTTTCTCTTTGCCAGTTCATATGAACAGAGATTAGTCTGCTGCGTTGGCTTTGAATAGAAGAATAGAATGATCAGACTGAATTTGTACTGCTCTCTTATTCCTAGTGCAAGACATAACAAGCTTGGGCGCAGCTATGGTTCAAGCTTACCCAAGTACCATAGAACACAAAAGCCTTCTTGGCTGCTTTCAGTAAGGGCTTTGAGAGATGAGACAGATGGAGGTACAAGCCACTCCCAAGGCCAAAGTTGGGACCCTGGCTTGGAAATTGAGGTCCCCTTTGAACAAAGACCGGTATGTCCCTCAATCCATGCCAAAAATGTATGGTGGTAAGATAACGCTCTATGGGAGCTAGAAAATGTATGCTTTGTTAGTCCCTGCATAGATTACAAAGAATTGTAGCTTAGGGGAGATGGTGTTTCAAAAAACCACTTCAAAGTTTAAAAGATACCTTGCATTAGCAAACGAGATGAGATAGATGCCAGGCATGTTATATGGGAAATGATTGAAGTAGATTTAGATATGCATGTCCTCAATGCAGTTGTTTATATGATAATTAATGCATATTTTCGTTCATACTTACATTCATCTGATCTGACGACAGGTGAATGAGTACTCATCTCTGAAGGATGGAGTTTTGTACTCATGGGGCGAACTGGGACCAGGCCCCCTTTTCCTTCGTGTAGGAGGGTTATGGTTAGTAACTTTCACTGTTCTTGGAGTTCCAATAGCTGCTGCAAGCTTTGATCCTTCAAGAGTAAGTCTGAAATAATAACAATATGCTGTAATATGCACAACAGGGATAATTATAAGCTCAGGTGCTATCATCATATATCTAAAACAATAATTCAAATGACAAGAAATTCTCCATTAGTGATAAATGCTAACTGCAGAGTGGATCCTGCTTGGCAAGAAGTTGTCCTCAACCACTAGACCAATGCCTCATTGACAAAAATTTGGCTAAATGTTAAGTTGAATCCTGCTCAACAAGACTGTCCACACCATTTTCTCCAAAAACAACTCAAAAATTTAGTTCAAGCATAGGAGAGTACAGAAATATTTCATTCCACATAATATTGTACTTGCACACAATGATTTCATGTTATCTTTGTGACTCATTCTCATCTTGCAGGAACCTTTAAGATTCATACTAGCTGCTGGAACAGGAACTCTTTTCTTCGTGTCTTTGATTCTTTTAAGAATTTATCTGGTATGACTACCTTTTTATAGTTACCAATTCTTAATCTTGGAGTGCGTAAAGTGTATTTATGCTGACTACAGACAAAATCATTCTCGTAGAATGGTTACATAAACCTCCAAAAGTTTCCATGCCAGTTTCATGATTAAATTACTTATACACTTTTCAAATTCCAGGGTTGGAGTTATGTTGGTGACAGACTTCTATCAGCTGTGGTACCATATGAAGAAAGTGGATGGTATGATGGTCAGATGTGGGTAAAGCCACCTGAGGTTAGTACATACTCTGTTTCCTTTTCTATCTTTCTAGACCAGAATAAAAACAGATGAGTGACAGCAAAACCAAAGATGTGATTGTTTCTCAAAGCATCCAAACTTCAGGCAGAAAGGGTAAGGACTATGATATTTCCTGAACCATCATTTACAGGTATTGTAAAATTAAAATTAAATATTTCAAAAGAAACAGAGTAGGTATAAAGAACATTTTGTCAGATAATAAGCAACAAATTAGATGCACAGAGAAGGAGAGAGAGAGAGAGAGAGATAGATTTACCTTGAAGTTACCCGCATGGTTGAGCTTATTTACAATTTTGCTACAAGTAGACCAGTTACTGAGGGCAGATTCTAGAGAGAGCATTGTACACAGGTTGTCTAATTGCCTCATCTGAAATGGAGATCATGGACAGTATATATTAAAAGTTAGAGCCATCATAAAAGAACACTAGATTGCATAACTTTTTGAAAGAAAAAAATAGCCAGAAGGTTAATTATATTAAGATTTTCAAGTTCCAAGAACAAAGCCAACTACAGCTGCATATTTAGAATTAGATGTATCAACAATAGTGAAGATGGCATAAAATTCTCCTTCATTCCATTCTAAAGACTCAAGAGTCAAATTTCTCCAGATGTTAATATTGGTACAATTCACTAGGATATTTAAATCTCTTAATGTTTTCTCCTTTGCAGATCCTGGCTCGTGATAGACTGTTGGGCTCATATAAGGTACAAACAAATGCAAACAAGTAGTTCATCTTGTCATTTAACATGCAGAAAACCTTACAATGTACATCCATTAGAAGGTTACATGCTAAATCAACTGAATTGCTGTTATAAATATGGATGATCACTTATTCACATGTGAATACTCTGAATGGGACATAGCATCTTAAAGATAGACATATTTGTGTGCACAAACATGCAGTGTTTTCTCTCACATACAAGTGGGGTGGGGGAAGAGAGAGGGAGAGAGGTACCTTGATGTAAGTAACAATATGCTTCACACTTGAAGCAACTAGATTCAAAACCATGCCTGATAGATATCCTGCATGCTTCTTTGGTCTTTTCAACATTTTGTGGTTTATGATTCATCAGCTTCTCAAACATACAAAATATTCATATTGAAGACTAATGCCTTCAGGTTAAACCTGTCGTCAAGTTGCTGAAACAGACACTAGTTGGAACAGGAGCCTTGCTTGTTTCTGGAGTATTGCTATTTATTTTTGCCACACCAGTAGAGAAATTCTTCAGGACTACCTTTGCCACAGAAGGGACACCAGCAAACATGCAAGCTTCAAAAACAAACACAAAGTTCAACATAAGGTACGGCCACATGTGGAAAAATAGAAATTCACATTTTCCATGACCAATGCAGTTTATTTACTTTCATAACATTTTTGTATGTATTGTAGAAAAGAGGAGTTGCTTAAACTGCCAGTGGAGGTTATGACAGATGATGAACTAGCAGAAGCTGCAGCAGAGGCTGCTGATGGAAGACCAGTCTACTGCAGGGACAGATTTTACCGGGCATTAGCAGGAGGGCAGTACTGCAAATGGGAAGACCTGCTTAAATAATTAGATTCTAGAATCTAGACTTGGGTTAGGATGGGGAAAAGAGGCATGAATCATTTTGAATTGACACTGTCGAATTACTGTTAGCCATCATTTTATACCATTTAGAAAGTATGAAGAAATGAAAAGAATGAAATGAGAAATAAATTACATGCAAATTCGGGAAGATCGGCACAAAGATTAAATTGATCGAATATCAAATAATAACCTGTCTAATTTACAACTTGCGCGTACATAAATCCAACCTCAACAGGATAGTGCGTTTGGCAAAAATATAACATACTGCCAGCTTATGTGGACAATATACACATCTAACAAAAATGTGAAACCGGCAGATATAACCTATATTAAAGATTTTCTATGCCTCATTTTTTTTTTCTTCCTAATATATACCTTTAATATCCCCACTCAACACTCCCACAAGACTAGCAGCCTATAAACAGTCAACAAATTTCTCTTCTCCCTTGAAAAAGCTGTTGGCCTCTATATTCGAATTCAAAATACAAGGATTATCATCCCTCCTCGAATGCCTGGCCTAATCCTAAAGACAACCAACTAGAGCACTGGGAACAAGACAGATTGGAACAAACAATACTTAAAAGCTTAAAAGCTACAACAGCAAAAATGATGGATTCTAAGAATCAGGAAATAGCGAGACTTGACTTCATTAAAATCAAAAGCTATTTCTCTGGCTCTTAGAAAGAAATTCCAACATACAGAAGATAGGGAGTGCTTATAGAATAAGAATTAGATAGCTTCATCTGACAAGAATTCTAATTCTATGTCTTTCAAACTATACCATAACCATAAGTCATCTTGCAGAAATTGTTGCTAGGCAACTTTCCTTCACTTTGAGTCTGTGACCTCAATTAATTGAGTTTTTTTTTTTTTTTTTTGACCTTCTCAATTAATTGAGTTGAAAGCATAATAATATCCAATCCTTTGACCACAGAAATGAAGCATTGTTACCTTGTCAAAGAGATGTAGTCACAGTGTCTGCCAGCCCTAAAGGGCGTTCCTCTCAAGCAAGTTTCTTGCACCAACTGAAAATTCTGAACAGGCTTCCTTCAATGATGTCTCTGATGGTCTTTTTCTTTCTTTTTGCATCTTCAATATCAAGAGTTCTATAAGCAAGGGCAAGCAAATACATAGCTGGATGTAGTCTCCTAGAAAGAGTACAAATAACAAGTAAGACTACATCAAATGTTATGACTGGAGAATGCAATTTCTTATAATTGCCATTTGAAACCCTCATCCTTCATTATTTGGAAGTTTATGTTCACTAGGATAAGTAGAAAACATGTCTCAAGTTAACTGCACTATAAGCATTTTTTAACCACCTATTAGGGAAGTATGCCAAGCAAATCTAACAGCAAGTATCAATGAGTCAGATGCCATCCTGGTCAAACATTTAAAAAAAATCAAACAAGCTGTATTTTTAAAGCGGCTTGCATGATTGCATCATACGCAATTGTAAATATTTTCACCATTCAATAGAACTGAGTTTCCCAAGAATAAGATAAGAAATGATTATAAATTCAACTAGAGGTTCATTAGATTAGATGGAAATAGTGATATGAGCAAGTTTTAGAAATAAAATCCTTGCTCTCATCCATTGAGTTAACAAAAACTGAAAACCCCCTCAAAGCACAAATTTTCCACAAAAAAACATGACATATACTTACTCATCAAATTGCTTGTTTGCATCAAAACCATCCCAATACCTCTGGGATGGAACTGTCCGGCCTTTCTTATCTTTGCCAAATGTTTCAATATACCACCCCCCTATGTCATGCGTGCTGCAGCGCGGTTCAAATAACCAAAATCTGTCACCATTAATCCACACAAAGAGCTATTATGAGTTAAAATTCAATCAAGTCAGTGATGACAGTCTGCCCAATAAACATACAACATACCAACAGCAGAAAAGAACAATGAAAGGATTGGGAGCGATTGACTTAAACATTTTGCAGAATCACTACAACTTCTCAGCAAAAAAGCATCAACAATTTATCAGAATTGAGTAAACAGTTTCAAACAAGGGAAATATCATAAATAAAGAGAGATATTAAAGCACATTTTGTTTAGAAGACTCTCTTTGATGATTTGTTGTTGAGTTGACTCATCCTCATTAGTTCAAATACAGATGAAGGAACTTACTTGCTAGGTGGTAACCGGGCTCTACAGCATCTACACTCACAAACAGAAACTTTCTCTCCCACAGGATACCAATGCATGTGCTTCACCTAAAAAAATGTGAATTGCAATAAAGATCTATTCAGATATCTACCAAAATCAATTGCCAAAAATATCCATTATGATGGAAATGGATCACTAAGTAAATATAGAAAAACAAGAACTTAAAATTTGTCTTAACCAGTATGAACCATGAAGTAAATATAACATAGAAATTTAAGAAGAACATTTATACAATAATACAAACCAGCAGTGTCCTGTGCTTCATTATCACATGGGTTTTTGTACCATTGCTATCATAAACAAAACATGACCCCTCTTCTGGGCTGGTCCCAAGTCCAGTTATTGTTCCCAGTAGAATTCTAGATCCAACTGCAACATCAGGGAAACAATCCCCAGAAAATCCTTTACTGTTGTACACAGATTCACCATTAGAAGCAAGAAAAACATGTATATGATCTTGGGCATCCTCGTCATGTATCCCACCATAAGAGCTTTTAGGAGGCACTCTAATGGCCATAGCAATGACTCTTCCACATACATGCAATTCCAAATCTTTATATGCATCAGATGCATCATTTTCAGTATCTTGGATTTGCATCTCAGAAATTCCAATACTATTTTCTTTGCCAGATTCTGTGCAAATACTTGCATTCTTAGTAGACTGATGCATAAATGAACCAACAGATGAAAAGGAAGCCAATTTTTCATGGCAGGCATATGGTAACTTAGGAATCCCATTAACTAGGCATACCATTCCAAAAAGATTGCGCCCTGAAACCAAGTGCAGGACTTCTGGATTTTCATACACAGACCTCTCCTCAGCTTCAAATCGATCAGGAAGAAGGTCCATGGACTCAATTTCTGGTCCATAGTATGCTGCATTTATGGCTGCATAAAAATCAGCTTCAAGAACATCAAAATAGCCAGTTCCAACCACTGCTTTCCTCTCAGACACTATATTATTTATAGCCAATCTATACCATTTTAACCATTCAACAACTTCCATCTGCTTATTCATGCTTGTATCGGATTCGTATGTGTACAAAATTGGACCCTGTCCAGAATGCTGCTGCAAAAATTGTCTCTGGGATAGCAGATACCTATCATAATGGGCCCTCTTCTTGGAATCTGAAAGGATCTGCGATTTATTATCAACAAATCTGATCAAGTCAGATTGCCTGCATGGTAAAAGCATACCAAGAAAATTCTAGGCACTATCATTGCCACAAAATACAACTAGCCTGCAAAGGCTGGGTCTAAGCTTAGCTTACATAAATTCTGCAATCCCCCTTTACCTAAATATATAGGAATAACATTTGTATATTTTGCCAACAACAATGGAATGGCTCGATAAGAGGTATCTACTTACACTGCTATAAAAGTCCACAAACTCAACACACTAAATAAAATCTAATCGATGAATAAGATATTCTAATCATAAAGATATTCAAAAGGATCACGTAGCTGAATTCCAAATTGATGTGATATCTACAACCATTACCGCTAAATCATCTACCGTTTCACAAAATTTTGCTGAATCTTAAATATGATTACCATTACCAAGTTCATTTCATTTTCATCAAATCCAGCGGAATAACACCATAATTAAGCTAAGATCATCAACAAAAAAAAACAAAAATTGAAATCGAAGCATCAGAAGAGCATTGATGGCAAATAATCAGAACTAAACCTCATAAGCAGCGAGGATTTGGACGAAACGTTTCGATGCAGAGGAATCGCTCTTGAATTGAGCGAGGTCTGGATGAGTTTCTTTGGCTAATTTCCGAAACGACGCTTTGATTTCCTGGAATGAGCTGGTCTCTGCAACTTCTAAGATTCGGTATGCGTTCTCTCCCGGAAAATCCATCCGAGTGGCCGAGTCACTGTCAGTACTGAACCACTGAGTTCCAAGATACGGATACAAGAAAATGGAGCTCAAAGAGTTGCCGTAAAGATTCGATTGAGCTGATAGGGATTGAATTTTCCGGTACCGGTAGATTCCGGAGAAGAAAGCCATCTCAATTCCCTTGATTACTTAATAATCTGTTCTTGCGATTTTGAAGCTGGAAATGGAAAAAGAAGCAGCGATATTACGAACAGATTGAAAGCCATTCCGGTCGACACAGAGATAGACTGACGGAGCAGTGATGGAAGGTCATAACTGGCAACTCCTGATCGGGAAACAGCCTCTTGCTCAGCTTATCATTACATGTGGGCCAAAAGTATTGGCGGGAGAATGGAGAAAGAGGTCCCAGCCCAGCCCAGGCCCAGGACCAGGCCCATCCATACATAGTAATTTACCCATTCTGAGGTGCTTATTGCCCTGTTCTACACTCGGCAACTAACGAGTAAGAGCCGTTCATGATTTTTGGCATGCATATTTTGTAACTACAGAGCTTTTTAATTGCCGAAAAAAAAAAAAACTAGGGAGCTTTTTTGGATACTACAAGCATATTTGGTGAAATTTATAAGTACTTTAATTATTTAATATTATTTATGTTTCAAATGTTTAAGTTTTTTTAAAAAAAACTTTTATTTTTTATTTTTTTTTAATCTTAAAAAATAACTTATAAATAATATTAAAAAAATAAAAATTCCAAAAATCTCCACCAAACAACTCTACATCATCAGCTTCAACTTAGAGTTGGTTGCTTGGTTATCTCCAACAAACTCTTGTTAAGCATAAAAATAAATGAAGAAGTTCACGAAATCCAAAATAAATAGATAAATAAATAAATGAAGAAGTTGACGTTATCAAAAACCAGAAAAAATAAATAAATAAATAAATAAATAAATAAAAAAAGCACACACAAGATTAGCCAAGAATGTGGATAAGACCGAAAACTTTGGAAGTA